TTGATAATTTCAAAAAGACATTGTGTTCAAAAAAAAATAATTCATAAATATTATATTTATAATTACACGATAATTAATATTATTGGGAATCGAATAATTATGAAAACTAATTATAAATTTGTTTTCAATTAGCCGAAGATATAGATGCTGCAACATTTGAAGCAATTAATGACCTAAGAACAGCTGGAGATAAATATTTCGTAAGGGGTTTTTACGGTGATGCAATAATGTATTACAATCAATGTATTGAGATATATCCACTTTTAATAGAAATACGATTAAATCGAGCACAATCATGTAAGAAAATGATCGAATAATTAAATTACAATTAAATTATGCTAAAGAAAAAAGAAAAAAAGAAAACTAAAATAAATTTCATTCGTTGTATTCAGATTTTCTAATGGACCGTTATGAAGATGCGCTCAATGATTACATTGTTTTAATGACACAGATTAATCTAGATCCAGTGTCATTGTATCGTTATTGTTATTGTTTGATAAAACAGGACAAACTTCATGAAGTAAGTAATATTTACAATTATTATTTATAATATAAATTATCGTGATCTATCTTATAATAAAATATAATCCCCCTTTTTGCACAAAAATTTTATCATATTTAATATATCATGTGTAATAATATCCATATATGAATATGTAGGAAATAATGAAATCCTACATAGATAATATAAAAAACTAATTAAATAATAATAATCTATATATATATATATATATATATATATATATATATATATATATATAATTAATAAAATTATAAAACAATATCAATTCTTTTTTTTTTTTTTTTTCTATACAAATAACAGGCGATGGTTTGTTTCACAAAAGCTGTGAAAACTAATATACATAACTTTTGGGCATTGCCAGCAAAGTTAAAATTAATAAACTATTTTATTGAGAATAAATCAAGGTACGTAATAACAATAGTATTCAAAATTATCATATTAATTCTCTTTTACGTTTTGATATAGAATGAAATGCGATAATGAATTCTATGATGAATTTATGACAGCCATGAAGGAACATTTAAATCCCTTAAAAGAAAACGTAAGTTTAGCTTTAAGTTCGACAGTTACCGATTCTACTCCTGTATCAAACATTCAACAAGAAAGCGACGAGGAAGACCAACTTATTGATATGGAATTAGAGATTGATATTGAAAATGAAAAAAAGGAAGAACTAGAAAAAGAAAGATTAGAAGCAATGAAAAACCCAAAAAAAAAGGAGAGTCCCAAACGTAAGAATATATTATAAATTAATTTATTCATAACTGTTATTATAAGTATCATTGTTTATTGATAATTTCAAAAAGACGTTGTGTTAAATAAAAAAATAATAATTCATAAATATTATATTTATAATTACACGATAATTAATATTATTGGGAGACGAATAATCATGAAAATTAATTAATTTTGTTTTTGATTAGATATAAGTGTAGATAAAGCTGTATTTGAAAAAATTGATAAAATAATAACAATTGGAGATGAATATTTCGATAAAGGTTTTTACAGTGAAGCAATAATGAATTACAATGAAGCTATTGATGTATTTCCATTTCTAGAAGAAGCACGACTTAGTCGAGCAATATCATGTAAGGAAAAGATCGAATAATTAAATTACATTTAAATTATGCAAAATAAAAAAAAAATAAAATTAAATTAAATTAATTCGTTGTATTCAGATTTTGTAACAAAGCATTACGAAGAGGCACTCCATGATTACAATGTTTTAATGACACAGATTATTCTAGATTCAAAATCAGTGTATAATCGTTGTTATTGTTTGGTAAAACTGGACAAGCTTGAGGAAGTAAGTAATATTTATAATCATTATTTATAATATAAATAATCGTGATTTATCGTATAATAAAATATAATCCCCCTTTTTGCACCAAAATTTTATCATATTTAATATATCATGTGTAATAATATCCATATATGAATATGTAGGAAATAATGAAATCCTAAATAGATAATATAACAAACTAATTAAATAATAATAATTTATATATATATATATATATATATATATATATATAATTAATAAAATTATAAAACAATATTAATTCTTTTTTCTGTATATGAATAACAGGTTATAACTTATTTACATGAAGCTATAATAACTTTAGTACATTACCAATGGACAATTTCAGCAATGAAGGTATTAGTAGATTATATTAAGGCGAATAAATCAAGGTAAGTAATAACAATGGTATTCAAAATTATCATATTAATTCTCTTTTACGTTGATATAGATTTCAAAACAACAGTGTATTGCAAACTGAATATAACGAAATCAACATAGAATTTCTTAATTGCGAAAAAACCCAAAAATGTTTGACGACACCACCTAAAATCAAAGTGAAGAATTTCAATACTAATAATAAAATATGTTATTGTGAAAGAGGACCAGGACCGTCTCACAGAACCATACCCTTACCACATCCCAGAGAGGATTATTGTATTCAAAACGAAAGTGACGAAATTGTATCTAGTTCCAGTTCAACACATTTTGTACCAAGCAGTATTAATACAACTCTTTCGGACAAAACAACGACCAACGAATCTTCCATTAGTCAAGAATCAAAAAATAATAAACGAAATAAACAAAAGTTTATATGTTCTTCTTCAATCGCAAGTACTTCAAAAGTTGACACAGAAAAAACGATTGGTGACCAGTCAGATACAACAGAACCTAATCTTCTCGTTAAAGAGGATAATGCAAGTTTAACTAATAATAATAATAATAAAAATAATAATAATAATAATGACGAAAATGGAAAGGAATATAATTTATCACCGAAAAGACTCCGTGTTAATTCTAATGACGACGGTGATAAATTAGATCCGAAGAAAAATGATAATTTTGAGGTATTTTATTTCGATACAAAAATTATATTTTTATATGTGCAATAAAGTTTGGACATAATTATTATTGTATTTTTTAGAATAACGCATATAAATTTATTGTTAACTGGAATTCTTTGAAAAATAGTGATCCCAATTTCAGGTGTCGTGCTCTAATTTTACGATCTATAACGGTAAACAAACTTATAGAAGGTACATATATTTTTGCATATATACAAATGCAAACATATATATATATATATGTCCGTTTTATTAATCAATTAATATTTTAGTTATAGATAATAAGCTTGATGGACCTATGCTGAGTTCGATTATACAATGTTTAGAAAAACATTTTTGTAGACCCGAAGATACTCAATTACTCGTTGGTTATTTATTATCACTTAATACAGTAAGCGGATTTCCTCTTTTAAAAATCTTTATAACTGAAAAGGATAAGGAAGGTAATGATAATATTAGAATATTTAAGATAATTTATAAGATAAAGAAGAGGAATTAATTGTTTTTTACGTTTAATTTTTAGCTTTAGCAAATATATTTCAATTTTTAGAAGATCAAGGATGTGAAGGGGTTCTAATGTTACGTGCACTTTATTCCTAATATTATATATAAATTACACGATTTGATAATAAATTAAATTTAGTATTTTAAAATTAATTAGGAAAGAGGAATTTGTATCTTCGTTATCATTTATCACTGGACATTATTATTTGTTATAATTGCAAAAATTGTTTATGAATTAAATTTTACACAAACCTTTTATTTATTTTTTTTTTTTCATATTTTTATTTATAAATGCATTAAATAGTTGTACTTAAATATTTTAACATTGTGACCAGCCTATATCTAATAATAAAATAAATTAATTGATTATTGATTTCTACTTGTTCATAAATAATAAATAATTGTTTCAAATATTTTTTAAAATGTATAAACACACATACGCACAGAAAGGATAGATCATTGTCATAGCAATATCAAAATAAATGATACAATTTTGTTATAATATTAAATTAATAAAATATATAACGAAAAAAATATAATATTTGTAAAATATAAATGATAATAGAATAAATTAAAGTATAACAAATTTCAAATGCTGAGAGATAGAATAGAAAATGGCGCGCATTTTACTTCGAGACACTGGCGGCACATATAAACCTGTACAAAACTAGCGACGCGTAACGTGCCAGCCAATAGGATGGCTCGTATTCCTATGTAACGAACAACGCTATTGGTCAAGCTAATTTTTCTTCATCACGTAAATACATGTTGATTATTTTCCTTTTCTAATGTTATTTATTATATATTTATAAAAACTTTTATAATATTAAAAGTTATTTTTAAACAATAAATATTTCAATTTTAAACAATAAAATTAATAACAAGTACCAAATCATTGTATTTCTCGTGTAATATTCGTCGAACGTGAAACTTCCATATCTGAATTTTATTAATATTTTGCATTTAATTTTTATAAAGATAAGAGAAAGATACGACCTTAGAACTTGGATAAAAAGAAATAATAATATAAAGAAATAGAAAAATCTATTCACATAGATATTAGTTTCTTGGAAATATTCGATATCTTATTTGCTTTCTCTCCTATTAACTTATTTCGAAAGAGAATATATCTTTCTAATTTTTTTTATAGATAATTCAAAATATGACGACATTGAATCGAACGAAGAGGAAGTGTGCAAAAATTTTCCCTAACTATTGATATATATCTCAAATCCCGAGATATGAATACGAACGGATGTGCTCAAGGATGCAAATAAAAAAAGTAGGAAATAATATGCACAAATGAAACAATTTACTAACAATCAATAAGAATGTCTGAAACATATGAAAAATAATTATCTTTGTAAGTCTTACTTGATAGATTTAATAAAAAATCATCAAAAGTTCCAAGATTATCCTTTTGTTGATTAAAAATCATCTCTACACGAATATACTATACAAGTATAATAAGTATATATATGTACATATAGATATAAATATTACATATATATATATATATGCATATGTTTCAAGTTTGTGCCGCCAGGAGAGCGCCACTATGCACGTGGTATAACGGGTGGATAGTCTATTTCCGTTAGAACATCCGGACTCCGTGGGTTTAGTCGCTCGGAGTGTCGTGTATTCTTCCGTTTGAGCAGCTTCTGACATTTTTTTCTGTTGCTACAAGATGTTTACTTGCATTGACCGTGCGTATTTAGATGAAGATCCGTATAATTCCACATATAAAATCGGCATGAATCTTACAAGGAGGGAACAATAACTGGAAGGTATGTGAGACGCTATTTTGGAATACGAGCGTCCGTGGTGTGTTTATAGCCTGCAAACCCTGACATAGCAATGGCGTACTGTAGCATTTAAGACCGTGCCAACTAAATCATCCTCGGCTTTCTTAACGAGGAAATTTAACGAGAACTCGATTAATATCGAATCGAATTGGGTTACCGGCAAGATTTAGTACGTGTTGTTCGTTAACCCTATTATTATAGTGATACTTTCTGCAATGAAAACTGTGATTTACGCGGTGCAGTGTCTCGGTTTTCCCCCACTGGCGGTATGACCGCCGATTGCCGAGCGGCACGCCATCCTTTCGTGGTAGAGGTCTAAATTGTTCAGAGAAATCGAGGATGTGAGTTAATAAGAAATCGCGCCTGTTTTATATTTTCATTTTATTCTATTATTCTTTTCGTTTCATTCGCGCCTCTCTCTCCTCTCTCTCACCTTCTCTCTCTCTCTTTCTCTCTCTCTCTCTTTCCCTCTCTCTCTCTTTCTGTCCTTCTCTTCCTCTTTTTATTTCTTTCAGTCTTTCTTTCTTTCTCTTTCTCTTTCTTTCCTTCTTTACCTTTTAGTTTTTCATTAATAAATTTATTTCACAATTTATTTTCTTCTCGATCAAAAAGATTATTATGCAAATATTTAAATCATGATTAACACGTAAAATACGAGTATATACGTTCACAAAGTACACGTATGTATATATAGATATAAATATATAAACGTATTATAT